GCCAATTGCCAAGCATCTGAATTTTGATCGCACGATCATGGGAATGCTGGAAAGGTCGTCCCAGTGAAAAAGGTCATGTCACTTTTTTTTTCAGGACCATTGTAACTTTGAACAGTCACTAAACGAACATATTTGGTAGACAACCTGGACAGGGGAGAGCGATGTGCTATGGGGTTGTGGGAAGCCAGGTCCTTAGAGAAGGAAATATTAAAAGGACAGAAAAATATATTTCCTCAAAGGATCTTAAAGAGCAGGAAAGCATGCCCAGTTTTCTTAATAGCCCCAGGTCTCCCTTCCCCAAGTAGAAACCAGCTCTGTAGAGATGTAGATGTAAATCCAGGGAGCTAGGAGATTAAGAAGATACCCCATCCAAACTCTAAGAGTCATCAGCCCCAGCCCCAGGGAAGCAGGATATGACCTTTGGACATAATAGGATTAACCCATCACCATCAGAATACCAGAAAGGCACACTCAGACTCAGGTCAAAGTTCATGCCACAGGAACAACTCCAAACAAAAGGCTCCAGAGGGTATAAAAACCCACTCCCTACATGTGTTCACTCCTTTTTTTTCTGCCAGAGCCATCTTCCTATCTGGCTCTCCTCTTCAATAAACTGCAATCTTCTTTCTAAAGCAGTCGCCATGTTCTTTATCCCGGCTTGGACTAAACCATGATGAAGACTTTTCTTCCAACAGGGTCGCAAAGAATTGGACACAACTTAGCTATTGAGCAACAACAACAACAAAGGCAAGCCATTAAAACCTGCCTCCTTTAATTTAATCCTGGTAATGAACATGAATTAGTATAATTTAATATTGGTAACGAATTCTATGCCACTGGATCCAAAACATCTCCAAGCAGCATATTAAACATTCCCTGTGGGCTCCTCCTTTCGATGAACCAGAACAAACTTCTATGGGAAGTCCGGTTACCGTTCCACTGCTTTGGGATTGGTCAGAGGTAGGCAACCTTGGCTCTTTTATGACTCGTGGACTTCAACTCCCAGAATTCCTGAGCCGGCATGGCTCAGCTTGGAAACCTCTCCCTTTCCCCTCAGCATGGCTGGCTCAGGAATTCTGGGAGTTGAAGTCCACGAATCATAAAAGAGCCAAGGTTGCCTACCCTTGGGGTAGGTTTTAAGCAAATCTCTTTTTCTTTCTTTCTTTCTTTAAAGAAATATTAAATGGCCTTTTCAGTGGCAACGGTAAGCTGGCGGAGGAAGAGGTTTCAAAGAGGCTTAATGGTAACACACATGACACCCATTTTTGCAAAGAGTTGGGAAGACAGCGGCTATTTGCCTTTTGCGGAAGGGCCATTTCCTGCCATTTCAGAAACCACATTATTAAAGAGCTTAAGAGCATGCGAGGTCTAGCTGGGGAGCTTTAAAAATGAATACTCCTCAAACTTTTTTTGAGCCTGTAATTTCTCACTAAAAGCCAAACTGGTTGTTACGTTAATTGCACGAATTCAGCAAGCATTATGTTAATAGCAACTCTGGGGAAACCCGAGCAATCTCCTGACTAGGTGGGTGGGGATAAAAATAAAATGTAAAAAAGAAAAGAAAAAAAGATGCTTTTCTTCTTCTCCCGGCCATCTCTTCTCCCTTCTTCCCACCCCACAAAAAATAAAATATCTCTGAAAAGGCTTCTATCCTATCCTATCCTATCCTATCCTATCCTATCCTATCCTAGGGTCATGTGATCACCATTTATGATCTGCCTCATGGCCTTCTGATAAGCAAAGTCAATGAGGGAGCCACTTAATGACTGTATGAGTCACTTAACAGCTGGAGTGACTCACTTAACAACCATGGCCAGAGGCGACAAAATGGAGCATGTCCCAGTTAACAACTGCCTTGCTTAGCAATGGAAATTTTGGGATCAGTTGTAGTCAGTAAGTCAAGGACTACCTGTAACACCTTCACCAAAAAATATTTGTGGTTGGGAGAGAGAAGGGAAAAAAAGGTCCTTTTTCTGCTTCTTTCCCTCTCTCTCGTTGTGATGGTGATTCCGGCTTTCCTTCTTTGGATTTTTCTCTCTCTCTTTTTGTAATGGAAATAATGCCAATGAACTGAGTGCAACTAAACATACGTCTTGTCGGTCCCTGACTCCCAAGGTTGTGCTGTGCCAATGGCAAGAAGAACTTTGCCTCTCTTTGATGTGAATCCCATAGATACTATGGTTTTCATGTCTTCCCTTAGAACAGCTTTTGGCAGATGATTATCACACAGTTAAGAATCTGAACTCGGAACCTTGGTGAGATGCCGGCTCTCCAAATCTGGGCCAAATGGAAGGTGTTTAGCCAAGGTTCAGGTGTGGGAACTGACCCAGAGCAATCTCCTTGCTGTCTCCTTTAAGAGGCAGAGCAAGAAATGGGCCAAGAAGAGCAAAGTGTCATGAAAGCCACCTCCAATAAGCAGTCATAAATCACGTTCTCCAATTAGCCTGAAATGTGTCAGCCTGGCCAAAACGTTATCAGTTCATCCTCGGTTCCCACAGAGCAGCGTTATTATTATGGCTAGCTGAGCTCAAGCATTCACCCCAACCCCACCTTCTGCACCTGATTTCTAAATAGAAGAAAAAGCATGTTAAAAGCAAAGAAAAAATGGCTGCCATTTTCATCCGTTGTCAGAGCAGAAACATCCCACGTTTACAGCTTCGACACAAAGTGCGTTGACCCTTTCCTAATTTTGTTTCATTTGGGAGGAAAATAGGAGGAAGGTGTGACGGATGTGTCCTCCGCTTTGAGTTATTGGTAGAGAAACAGTTTGGTCTAGTCAGCAGGGGTAGGCAACCTTGGCTCTTTTATGACTCATGGACTTCAACTCCCAGAATTCCTGAGCCAGCATGGCTCAGCTTGGAAACCTCTCCCTTTCCCCTCAGCATGGCTGGCTCAGGAATTCTGGGAGTTGAAGTCCACGAGTCATAAAAGAGCCAAGGTGGCCTACCCCTGGCCTAGTGGCTATGGCACCAGGCTAGAAAGAAGGAGACCATGAGTTCAAGCCTCGTCTTAGCTCTGAAAGCCGTCTGGGTGCCCTAGGGCCTGTCACTCCCAGCCCAGCACACCTCACAGGGTTGTTGTTGTGGGGAAAATAGGAGAAGGAAGGCGTGCTGCATAGGTTTGCCACCTTGAGTTATTCGTAAAAACAATAAACGTGGAATATGAACCGACAAACAAATGAAGCGAAAAACAGTTGCGTTTTAAAGAGAAACCCAGGCAGTTGCTTTGCCCAACACCCTCCCACTTTTTGCTTGTTCCAAACAGCTCTAGGCAGGATTTTTATTTGTCTCATGGAGGTCACAGCCCATATTTTGCTACTTGTAGGCTTTCTGAGCATCAGGCAAGAAAAATAATTTTGCATGACTGATATCCCCAAATCGTTGAGGGAAATGACGTGAAAGGGAGGAAACACTTTGGGGAAATGGATAAAGTTTTTTGGGGGAGGGCAAAGCATGGAGAAAAAGGGGTTGGAAAGCAGATTGTTCCTTTCCCTTCCCTCCACCTTTTCCTTCTGCACCCCATTCCCTTAGTTCAGTGGTTCTCAGCCTGTGGTCCGTGGACCTCTGTGCAGGGGTGGGGAGAGGCAGTGATCCGTCACAAGGGGTCCGTGAAGGCTTGAAGAAATGTTGAGATTTAAATCTTGAATTAAGTTTTGGTGGGCCGTGAGCCCAAAAGGTATTTAGGTGGGTCTGTGGTGGAGAATAGGTTGAGAACCACTGCCTCAGCTACGAGGACAGTTGTCAGTAGCAAATGCGTAGTAATGTGGTCTCAGTAGGATTTGTTTCATTGGTTTGCTTGCCAGCAAACTCTCCTACTATCAAGGCTAAACGTCTCGGACCGAGGTATCATTTGGTGAATGCAAGATAGGAATATAAATTTAACAAGCATAATGTAATTTTACAGAATGCAATCTGCCATGGTAACATCTCAGCAAGCCAATAAGTGGGGACCTGCATTATACTGTAAAGTTATAACTTTCCAGCTTCCAGTCTTGGCTTACTCATCTCCCCAGTTTCATCAAGCATAGCTTACTTGCTGTTGAATATTCATTTTTAAGCAGCATAAGTAGACTCAGAATTAGACCCCTCTTTCTACTGTCTTGGTAGGAAACCCAATATTGGTTTGTAGAATTGAAGGTAGTTAACCATATCTGAAGACAATCTCCAAAATTATTGGAGTGAATATCAGTAGAATTCTATTTCAAAAAAGGGAATTAAAGAACACATCCTGTTTTAAACTCTCGTACTATATCTGGACTAAGGGTGAGCTTCCAGTTAGACTTGTGAAAAAATGGCCTTATTAGGAAATAAAAGGCAACCAATGTTCTTAGTGTTAGTTCTTAAGAACATGAAAGGAAAAATCGGAGATTGAGAAGGAAAACTTAATACAATGGTAGCAGTGTTTGCCCTTTAGGACAGAAGGCAGAGCAGAGCCTTTAATGAAACCATATTCAGCCTCCTACAGATCTTATACACCAGAAATGAGCAAAGTGATAATTAGAGATGAATATTATCAAGGAGTTCTCAAGAAGCCACTTAATCTTCAGAATACATTTCTAAAGCTCTGGGGAGAACAGTGGAACATCTTGACTAGAGAACACCTAAAATTGTGTTTGGATTTCTGAAGCAGCTCTTGATAGCTGAAGTCTTTCAAATAGCAATAGCACTTAGACTTATATACTGTTTCACAATGCTTTTACAGCCCCTCTCTAAATGGTTTACAGTCAGTGTATTGCCCCCCCACCCAATCTGGATCCTCATTTTACGGACTTCGGAAGGATGGAAGGCTGAGTCAACCTTGAGCCGGTGAGATTCGAACTGCCAAACTGCTGGCAGCTGCAATACTGCATTCTAACCACTGCGCCACCACAGCTGTGCCACCATAGCTCATATCCTGCTGATAGGAATACATATTGGAAGGCTTTTTCAACTGAATCTGGTCTGTTTTGTATTAATGTAGATTAACATTCCCTTGTTTTGTTTCTTTGCTTACTATTGCAGACACGAGGGTCTGGAGAAGTTGGAAGTGGATCCTACCAAATATTCCTTCCCTGATGTGACAAATATTGTCCATAAAAAGGGTCGGATGGGACAAGGACCTTTAAGGCTTCAACAGCCCAAAGTTGTAGACACCGAGAACTTGAGCTTTGAAGATAACCTAGAAGTTCCACCTTTAATTTAAAGAATTAATACAGAGAAAGCTTCTTTTCTGGTTAGAACATCTTTATCTAGTATTTTTCTTTATACACACGTTCACCTATTCACTATTCTGGTCGCTGGCGGAAATTGAAATTCTTGCCACAATTTGTACCCAGCTCTGTTAAATGGTATGTCAAGTCAGGCTTCTTTGCATCCTGTTTTATAGGGTTTTCTCTCTTCAAGCCTAGTTCAAGTAGGAATTGTTGCTGGGGTGAGGGCATCTATTGTAATAGTTCCTGGCTTCAACACGGCAACCAACCTGCTGATTAAAACCTTGCTCCTTTTACAGGCAGGTGCATGATGCACATGAAAAAGGAGTGGGCCTTTGATTGATCAATTGCACCGTCAACTACGAAGGCAGCAGTGAACGGTTTGGGGCTATCAGGTGTGCAGAATTCTTTTTTCTTGCCTGATGCTCAGGAAGCTCGGGGCGAAATTAAGAACGGTATCATTACTCTTTGTAGTCAAAGGGCATCATAATAAACAGTAATGAGCATTCCTGAAGATTTTTTCTAGACCGGTGTTTCTCAACCTCGACAATTTTAAGGCATGTGGACTTCAATTCCCAGAATTCCACAGCCAGCAATGCTGGCTGTGGAATTCTGGGAGTTGAAGTCCACATGCCTTAAAATTGTCAAGGTTGAGAAACACTGGTCTAGACTATGATTCCAACAAAATGTTGGAGGAACCTACAGAAATAGAGCCAAAGGAAGGAAATGTAAATAAATTGGGCAGATGAATGCCAGCTTTTCTTCCTTGTGGGTTCAAACCCTTTAGTTTGTTTCCATTTTTCCTTGTCTCAATTTTAAACTATTTCTATATACACAACTTCCTTCCTTTTTAATTTTAAGCATGCTAACTGCAATAGAGATGAAGGAAGCGCCCGGCTTCTTTCTGCCAACTTTATTAACTTATCTACCAACTACATTCATAATTTCTTCCTTTTTTTTTATTCCTATCATCCTATCCAAGTTAATTCTTAATAGCTTAGTTAAGATAAGCCCTTGTAAGCAATACTGACAGCATTTTCCCCCCTTCCAATACCGTCTTTACTGATTTACCTTTCTCGCTTGAAATAGTGGGTCTCATTTTCACTAGAATTGTATGCCTGGAGCCATCCCACTTTAAAACTACAGATATGGTTCATGTGATCAAATGTTCTCCTGAGTTATAGAGAATGGTATTTGTAGGTATCCAGGTAGAAGGAAGCGTTAGCCTAGAACGGCATACAATTATACAGGCCCTCCACCTTGAAGTTTGAAATGGTTTGCTTGAAAGACAGATGTTACCACCTCAATAAAAGGCAGGAAACCAAAAGACAAAGTGCTTGTGTAAAATATTCACATACCAAGCAGGTGATCTTTTCTACAGGAAACTATTTTTCTATATTGGAGGTGAAAATCTATGTATCCGGTATGGTAGAGCCAGGAATAAAGATAATTTTGAGTTGTTGCAGCAGCATCGTTCCTTTGAAATTTGTGCGTTCTTGCGGAGTTGGGGGAGGTTTTCCAGGATGCAGGACCTGCCCTTTCATCACTTTCACACAAGGGCAATTGCACCACTTCTGAATCATCTTTGAGTCCATCGTATTGTCGGTGTTTAAGCAGCTGAGTCTGTCGATTTTTCAGCTCAGCTGCAGATCAACACAAAATTGTGAATCCAGTTTCCAGTTGAGGGGCTGGAGCTGTGTGGAGCTCAGATAACAAGCTATTTTCCTTGGTTGGAAATGTTGGCTTATCTTTCTACCTGGCTGCTGGTTCTGCTTCTATGCACACACACACATGCGAAACATAACACACACACAGACCCAAGTTAAACTACCATAGTATTGTAATAGTATTATTATTATGGTTCATCACACAGTCAGCCAGATGTTCAAACTGGATTTTACATTTTTGACTGCCTCTCAAGTCCTTCCCAAAGACCTGGGATAGGCAGGTGTGGATGTCTGAGGGTGTTTCAGATATCACTGCAGGATCTAAGCTGTTCCAAGTAAAGCTGCTTTTTGCAATTGACTGATGGCAAATTTGTCAATACCAATGGTGTTCAAGTGGTGCTCCAGTTGTTTTGGGAATGCACTTGATACCTGTGACTATTGAGACTAACTTGGCTTGCTTTTGCCACAGTCGTTCTATTTCCATTTGCAGGTCTTTGTATTTTGTTACCTTCTCCAGTTCTTTCTCTTCTTCTGCTCTCTCCAGGTACTGCCACATCCACACTATCCAGACTTTTTTGTCTTATTGATAATTGTTAAATCTGGAATTTTGTTGTTGTTATTGTTGTAGATATTGTTATTTAATCTTCAGTTTGATTCACAGTCTGGGACTGGTAAAAACTTAAAAGTTCAGGTCCTAACCAAGGCTTTTCAACCAGGCTTTTCAACCAGTAGTACAGGTACCACCTGTGGTACATTGGCACCTGGCAGGTGGTACGCGACCATCCTAGAAAAGTGGTAGCGGGGGAGGGGAATGAGCTGAACCGGTGGCAGCACTACACAAGCCCGAGCGAGAGACGGCTGGAGTTGCAGGCCTGTCAGGGCTCAGTGGAAGCGCCAGGATCAGCGCCAGGCTCCAGCTGGAGCTCGGCGCTGATCCTGGCGCTTCTGCTGAGCCCAGAAGAAGCGTCGATCAGCTGGAATGTTGCAGCATCTCCAGGGTCTTGTGATTTACATTCAGATGCTTGGCAACTGATTCATATTTATGACGGTCACAGTGTCCCAGGGTCACGTGAAGTGACCAAAACCTGCTGCAGCCACCCAGCAGACGGGAGGGAATCAAAACCAAACATCCCCCACCCCACCCCCGCTGCCAATCCTCAACAGAAATGCTCACAAAAATGAAAACCTCGGACAGGAGGAAGAGCGCCGCCAGTCGGGCAGGCAGGTATCTTGCTCGGCTGTGGCTTGGGGGGCACTTTTTTCAGTGCCATTGTAACATTGAACAATCACTAAGCTAACTGTTATAAGTCGAGGACTACCTGTACTTCATCACTTTTTTCCTTTTTTTTTTTTTTTGATCATCAAGTTTTTGACATTTTGCTAGGTGACTGGTGGTACTCGGATGTTGCCATATCCTAAAAGTGGTACAATGGATGAAAAGGTTGAAAAGCCTTGCTCTGGGTAATTTATTTTCAAGGGTTGGGAAGAATAAAGGGGGTGCAGAACAAAAAATGATTCTCATAGCGTACAAATGATCCACTGGGAAACCATGTATGTGGGAGAGAGCTACATACATCCCAAAAAGAAATTCTTCCAATTTTGGCTGTTCTCTACTAAAAATTTAGGTTAGAAGGTGCAAATATTCTGTTAGGGAACTTGGTAGCCAAAGGAACATTGGCAAGCCTTTCAGTTCCCCAAGAGGAAACTAGTAATTTAATCACTGCAGAATTCACAAAACATAGTTAACAGCCTCCCTGGGATCTGTGGTTTCCAGTTCTTGCTGGCTTTTAAGGTTTGTATTGTGCCTTCCTTGAAAGAAAACCCAATGCTTTAGCCAATTTTCATGGCCTCCCACAACACATGGTACAAATTTTGTATGTGTGCGCAGCTGGCAACATTTAGAACCATACCGCCAGAGCCAGGTAAATTTGGGAAGATTCAGGTTAAAACCCATCTTTGACCATGTAAGTCACCAGTTGACTTTATGTCAGTAAGTTCATACCCCCCCCTCTCTCTCCCTCCCTCCCTCTCTCCCTCCCTCCCTCCCTCTCTCTCCCTCTCTCCCCATTTCTCAGTTGTTGGGTAGAAAACTAAACAGTGCTCTACATTGTCTTGAGAAATGTGGAATATCACTCTAACAAATATTCTTTAGCATAGCAGTTCTCAACCTGTGGGTCGCGACCCCATTTGGGGTCGAACGACCATTTCACGGGGGTCGCCAAACAACGCAGTCCGCCATTTTTCCCCCCTTTTCCTTAGCTGTGCTACTCCCTTTTATTCTATTGGCTTTTGAAAGCCAATAGAATAGACTCTCTTCAATAGAGTCTAATTCTATTGGCTTTCAAAAGCCAATAGGAATTGTCCAGGCTGTCTCTGTCCTGCTGAGCCCACCAAAAGTCCCATTCTGCAAATGTTGCTGCAAGTTGTCTGCAGCGAAGGCGAGCTGTCTGGAAGTTTCCACCCCTCCCTGCTGAGCAACTACTAAAAATGTAAGTAAAAGAGGGCCAGGGGTGGGAGGTGGGAGGCCGGCGGGCGCAGGGAGGGTTGCTTGCGAGCGTGGGGCCTGACGGGTGCCTTACCTCCCTTGGGCTGGGCCAGCTGGTGGCCCAGCCAGTGGTCGGCCTGCACCGTCTCTGCCACTTGCCAGCTATGCCTCGGCCGGCACAGTGAACGGCACCACGGATGCACGGCGCTCCTGGGCAGGGAAAGTCCTTGACTTACAACCGGTTGGGTAGTCCTTGACTTATGACCGGTTGGGTAGTCCTCGACTTATGACCGGTTGGGGGTTGCGGCATTAAAAAGGTTGAGAACCACTGGCATAGATGTCCTGTTCCCTACCTGGTGATGATTGATGAGATCTACAGAACTGGACCAAGCTTTGTAATTCCAGATACCAACAACAGGTTGTGGCCTTCAGGACCACTCTTAATAGCCGAAGTTGGCCTGTTGAGAAGGAGAGGTAGCAGAGGGTCTTTGCTACTCCTCTTAAATCACCTAGTGCAGGGATGTCCAACCTAGACAAGTTTTAAGATATGTAGATTTCAACTCCCAGAATTCCTCAGCCAGCCACTCTTGAACCCTAGTAGGTTTTTTTTTCTTTGCATAAAAAAAATGATGTATGCCCCATAGTCCATTCTGAAGCTCTTAAAGTGTATCTGCTCCATCTGGTCTAAGGTACATTCTAGATAGAAGACTGCTATATATGGAATTGCAAATGGGCAGGGCCTTGTCTAGATTGTTACGTTTCATTACCCCACCTATAGAAATGGCTGCTATCAAATGTGATGACCTCCAGTTGGGATGATTTTAACAGGAGATTAGATTGATGGTTCAAATAATGGCTGCTGGTTTTGAAGGGTGTACATTACCTTAAGAAGTAACAGTGGGAGGGTTTAATTCTCATGACGTTGGGATTGGTGAAAATGGGCAGGGGCGGGGGCAGGGAACCTTGGCTCTTTTATGACTCGTGGACTTCAACTCCCAGAATTCCTGAACCAGCATGGCTCAGCTTGGAAACATCTCCCTTTCCCCTCAGTATGGCTGGCTCAGGAATTCTGGGAGTTGAAGTCCACGAGTCATAAAAGAGCCAAGGTTGCCTACCCCTGGGCTAGGGCCTTTGTGAAATTCCCAAACAGATTTGATTGGCTCCCATGTGCCCCAGAATGCTGAATGACATCAACCATTGGTCTGATCTGTCATGGCTCTTTCCCAAGACACTTGCTTCTACCTCATGAAAGTCTTTAGCTCATGTCTCGGTGGGACAAAATGAAATTTCAGAGAATCACCATCCTGGTTTTAACAATGGTGGTGTTAGTCTCAGAAGTATGATTTCAGGGTTCACCTAGCTACATGAAAACATAAGATGTAAGATGTTTTATAAAATACAAAGCCTTAGTAAGTCCACACTTGGAATATTGCATTCATTTCTGATTGCCACAACATAAAAAAGATTTTTGAGAGTCTGGAAAGAGTACAGAGAAGAACAACAAGAATGATTAGGGGGCTGGAGGCTAAAATATTGCAGGAATTGGGTATGTCTAGTTTAATGAAAAGAAGGACTAGGAGAGACATAATAGCAGTACTCCAATATTTGAAGAGCTGCCACAAAGAAGAGGGAGTCAACCTATTCTCCAAACACCTGGAGGCAGAACAAGAAGCAACGGATGGAAAATAATCAAGGAGAGAAACAATCTAGAACTAAGGAGAAATTTCCTAATAGTGAGAACAATTAACCATTGGAATGACTTGCCTTCAGAAGTTATGGGTGCTCCATAACTGGAGGCTGAAATGATATGGATGGGGTGGACTAGACTAGAAGACCTCCAAGATCCCTTCCAACTGTATTACCCTATGTTCTATAAGATGGAAGACATTAAATGGAACATCGCTTGAACCAGCCCTGTCCCTGCCCTTAAAAACCAGATCTCATAACAACATACATTACACCTGCTCTGAAATTCTGTAACTTTATGGAGAAATGACCTCCCCCCCACAAATTAAATAAAGGGTACTATAAATTTCGATCACCTCAAAATGGGGCATGTTTTTCAGCCTGACGTGTTTTCTGTAGCAAGCATGAATAAAGGTCAATGAGGAATGATTTATAGTGTTTTCTTGGTGGCGTCCTCCACAAGGAGCTCTTCAATGGATCTATATTCTCCCAACACTGGATTTATTACTGGCAGTCTGTGAGGTGACTCAGATCTTCTCTGAGATTTGCCCTTGAAGGGGTAGTTGGGAAAGTTGGCAGGTCGTTTTGAAAAGGGTACTTAACTCAAGGAAAGATAAACGTGATTTTTAT